TCTCCAGGGACTCCAGTGAACGACCCTGTCTCAAAAAAATAAGAATAAAAATAAAAGACCCAATCAAAAAATGGGCAACTGAAATTAATAGAGACTTCTCAGAAGTACAAATGACCAAAAAATATATGAAAAAAAAATGTTCAACATCACTGGTCATTAGAGAAATGCAAATTAAACACTCAGATTCCATAGTAGCCCAGAAAGAACAGCTATCACCAAGAAATCTAACTGAAGGGCGAGGGAGAAAAAAATGAGAAAAGAAGGAAATAATGGAAACAAAGCTTTTGTAAATAGGAAAGGGTGGAGGAGTAGAAGGAAGAGAAAAGGAATGGGGAAAAAAATAAGAACCAAGATATATCATGTACAGATACCCTATGATGAATGTGGTCATAACGTACACCTAAACTGTACCAATAAACTCAGTGTAGAAAAAAAAATCTAATAATAAATGCTGGTGAAGCTGCAAGGAAAAATGAACCTTTCTATAATGCTCGTGAGAATATAAACTATGGTAATATAACCACTATGGAAATTAGTAGGGAGAGTCCTCAAAAAACTAAAAGTAGAAATTCCATTTGACCCAGTTATTCCCCTTCTAGATAGCATCCCAAAAGAGTTAAAGCCATTATATTACAATGATACATGCATACCCATGTTCATAGTAGAACAACTCATAATAGTTAAATAAACTCAAAATAATTAAATCTTGGAAGCAGCCTGTATGTCCATGAATAGATGAATGAATAAAGAAAATGTGGTATTCATATCTCCTAGAGCATTATTCTATCGTAAAGAAAGATTTGTATAAAAATGGATGTGCCTTTAAGTCATTTGTAGAAAAATGGTTATACCTTGAGACCATAAAGTGAAATAAATCAGACACAAAAGCTTAACTATCACATGGTTTCTCTTACATGAGAAACTTAAAGTACAGTACCAATAGATTAAAGAAAAAAACAAAAGATAAATAATAGAAAACAAAGAGAGAGATCTTTGGCAAAAGGGAAGGGGACCAAGAGATGGGGAGAGGGGAGAAAAAAGATGAAAAAAGAATTAAGATGTGTTATGAACATGTACCAACTCCTCATAATAAATGCAACCATTGTGTACTACAATAAAAATATTAATAGTAATAGCATTTAAGGAATATTGATTACATGGCAGGCATCACATTAAGTATATTATATATGTAAGTTCATTTCATAAGCACATTGTGAGGTAAGTATTTTTTGAAGGAAATTTAAGCACTGGCTGAAAATTTTTCCTAGTATTACAAAGTTAGTAAAAAGCAAACCTAGAACAAAAATATCTTGCCCTATATCCCAAAGCCTTGATCACTATACTGGAAAACTTACTTTTCTTTCTAGTTATATAAAGCCTTCTTACAAAATATGACTTGGAAGATGGAATAAGGAGAGTGTGGGATCCAGAATTATTCTCAAGTGCCACATTCTCATGTTGGGAAGAGGGAGTAGGAAAACTATCCCAATGGCCTTTGGTGGTTAGGATATTAAATAAAAATTTTCATTCTCAAAATAATGTATTCTAATGTAGAGTTTAAAAGTGCATATTCTGGGGCTTGAAATATAGTTTAATGGTACAGTATTTGACTAGCATGCACCCAATCTTGAATTGAATCCCCAGTACAACCAAACATACCAAAAAAAAAAGTATATTTTATGGAAAAAGTGCAGTCAACAGTAGTTAACTCAAAAAAACCTATTTACCATGAACAGCCAAAAAGTGACAGTTTTATAAATATTTACTGAAGGCCAAGTAAGTGCTACAAAGTATTCTAAGAGGTGACAAGACAGTAGTATAACATGTCAGATAAAGTCCTCACTATCCTGGAGTTCACATTTCCACATGAAAAAAATATATAACAAAAATAAGTATATAAATTATGTGTATAAAGTAACTTCAAAAATGGAGAAAAGCTAGAGAAAATGAAACAGGATATAACAGAGGGAAAGGGAGCATAACAGTGCTCTTCAAACTGGCTAATCACAAAGGAACTTATAGAAAATATGTGAGCAAAGACAGGAAAACCAACATCAGAAAAGAGAAGAAAAGTTTTCAGACAGACTTACGACATAAAATTTTGTACAAACTGCATTGACAAAAATGAAGGTCAATATGATTGAAATGCAGTGAAAATGAGAGCAGTTTAAGGTGAAGATAATTTGATAGGGACTCAGTTTTATTTATTTAACTTTTTTATTCTTCATTATATTACTTTCAGTCAGTTGAACATTCCCTTAATATTTTTAAACTATTGTTTCTATTTTTCTTTGGCTTCTAATAGCCAAATACTCAATTCTACTAGATTCCTTTAATTCTGTTCATTTTCCAAGATGTGTATATATTATTCCAAAACAAATTGCTAAAGACCAAAATACTTAACCATCCCACAGGGTTTTCCATTGAAAACAAAACATCCAATCCAACTGATTTTAATGAAATGACTCAATGTTTAACGTGTAGGCAGAAAACAAGAGTTATTTTATTTATCTACAAAGTTTATATCTATCCTCTACCACAGGAAATTCAGAGGGAATCCCAAGACAATAACTTAATAGCTTTTCTCTTCTATATACTAGTGTGGTCTAGAGAAAAGGCAAAAACAACAAAGTTAGTGAACTTTTAACAAGCATTTACAGGAATGCCTAAAGATGTTTTATGGATGTTCTGAAGGTGAGTTCATAAATGTGGAAAAGTTATAATTGTTTTCATCTAATTATCAATCTTTTTTTTTTTTTTTTTTGGTACCGGGGATCGAACTCGGGTCTTTGCGCTTGCGAGGCAGGCCACCAAACCGCTGAGCTAAATCCCCGGCCCCTAATTATCAATCTTATAAAATTCTGCAAAAGGAAAATCTTTAGCTAAATGACCACAAATAAGAATTCAAAATCTAACATTAAATGAGGACCAAAGTGTATAACAGATATTGTGAATAGGAAGAAAAGGTAAAAAGGGGGAAGAAAAACTAGGGAGAAGGCGTAGGGGAAAGGAAAGAAGAGAAAAAAAAATGAGACATGAAGGAAAAAATGGAAACAAAGTTTTTGTAAATAGGGAGGGGTGGAGGGGTGGAAGGGAAGGAAAGGGGACAGGAAAAACAAAAACCAAGATATATCATGTATAGGTATAAATTCCCAATTATGAATGTAATCACAATGTATATCTAAAACGTACCAATAAACTTAATGGAAAAAAAAAGACGTTAATAGATCTCAACTGCTATCCTTCATCACAATTCAAGATGCCAGTAAGGCATAATTTAAGCACTGTTTTGTTAACAATACAGTAGTAACAGTGTTACAGTAGATACAGTGTTAAATACAACACTATTCAAGAATTAAAAACAAAACATCTCTAGAAACTAGTATGTCTACCCCTCAACTATGACTCACTTATGACAAAAACAAGGAATTTTACATTCTTACAGGTTCAAACATTTTTTAAAAATAAAAGAAAGAGGAACAAAGAAAAAAGGTGTTTATCTTTATTATTATTTCATTTCCTTTTAAATTTTCAAAATTTTTAATATCCTATGAAAGATACAAATATTAGTAGCACACGGCCTGATTTTATAACTCTGAATGACCTAAACAGTATTTGTCCCAGCCAGAGCGCTATTCAGATAATGTTCCTGGGGCTCGTGGTATAGTTCTACAGTATATTTAGCTGGTTCAAAGCCTTGGTTTCCATATTTATTATGTGCACGTGTGCAAGTGCATACACACATATACACCAACACTACTTGATCGTATATGAATGTTCTAAAACTATATATTTAATCCAAATACATCAACAATTCTCATACTGTTTGTTTGTTTGTTTTGCTTTTTCTGTTTTGTTTTGGTTTTTTCCTTTTCTTTTTGCGAGGATGAGCAGTGCTAAGGATTGATCCCAGGCCTTCACACACACTACCACTGGGCTATATCCCCAGCTCTCTCATACTGTTAAGTCTAATTTTCCTAATACATTTCCTTCACCAGGACAAACGCTTCTGGATTTGATCCCTGGTGCCAAAAGGAAAAAAATAATAATGTAGCTCAAGATAGAGATCAAACACAGTAAACACAGACAGCACAATGTCCTTCCAATGGCTGCTCTAATAGAGGGTACTCAACAATCTCTCAATATGAAGAAACATAAAGCACATAATAGTACAATTTTCAATTCCTTTTCAACCATAGCCTATAAAGGTACTCCAGTATTTTCTTCTATTAGTGGTACAATTTTACCTTTCACATTGAGATATTTAATCTCTCTAGACTCCGTCTTTATATGTAGTATTAGAGACAGATCCATTTTCCTCTCTATAGTAATCTGGTTTTCATAACACAATATACTGAGCAATTTGCCTTTTCTCCACTGCTTTATGGCAAAAAGATTTTTCAGTAGCATTGAAAGCTAAATAGAGGAAGGGAAAAGGAGATTTCAAAGGTTATAAATAGAAGAAAGAAATAAGAAAAACAAAAGCCAGGTACATATAGAAGTTTAAGAGTTTAGCAAAGGAAGGATAATGAATAAATGAAGTTATTATTAAATTACCTGATAATTTAATTTATTGATTGATGTATATTAGAAGAAAATAGCAAAGGATAACTAAAGATTAATTTTTTAAATGCATATGCCCTCAAAACTTCTCAGGAAATGTTTAATTTATATTACATAACATCATAAGAAGTTTTCAGAGATTAGACCATCTTCCAGTAACCAATAAACTGGATTATATTTCACTTAGTATTTATTCTTCTTTAAACAGAACAAAAATAAAAATAAAAGTAGAGACCTTATAAGGATCCAAAAGACTATTTTCTAAACTTCATTTTCCCTGAAAACGGGAATTTTCAAGTAACTTTAAAACATCTTTAGCATCTATATCAGATTTTTTAAACATGGATTTAGTTCTAACTCTTTATCTAATTACTGAACAAAAACAAAAACAGCAAAAAAAGTAAACTACTCTCCATAAGAAAACTGTAAAGCCATACCTTTTGTTTTCAGCCAAATTGGCTCCTTCATCCTTTAACTGTTTACTTTTCTCCGCACAACCTTCAAGGAGAATTTCTTTCCTACGTTTAATGGCATGAAGCCAGTTCCCGTCATCATTCTCAACAACATCTTTCTCATCAGCTGCTTCAGCTTCAAACTGCTGCGAAGTGGCTCTTGAGACCTTCTCACCAATTTTCCTCTTCCACCCAAAGGAAGCCATTCTGGAAAGTTACAAAGACAGAGCTTGAAAAGTCAACTTGGTCTTTTACGAAAGTATAAATCCATGAACTAATAGGAAAGTATGGAATAACAGATTACACTATCACCATTTTTTAGCCTCTACTTAGTGGACCTTGGCAATTATCAAGGGCTGCTACATCACAAAGAATGGACATTACACATTATTGCATCTCCTGACAGGACAGTAACACACCACTCAAAGTACCTTGCAAAAAGTAATACTAAATCAGATCAGGCCTCTACCACGAAATATTACAAGAAATACTGGACACAGTTAAGCATTCTCAATAACATATCAGAGATGCAGGTAACACAAAACAGAAACTAATGAAATAAATTGCTACAGAAAGAGACAAGAGGGGAAGAAAGGCAGAAACCTCTAGATTAAGAGAGATTTAAGAGACATACTAACCAAACACAATGTGTAGTTCTTTTCCAATCCCAACTCAAAAAATCCAATGATGAGAAAACATTTACGAAGAAGCAAAATCAGAACACTGATTTGCTCTTTGACAATACAAAGGAATAACTGCTATATTTTAGGTGTCATTATAGAACTGTGACTATGTTTACAAAAAAGAACCCTTATCTGAGACTACAGAATTAGGGAAGAGGGAAGAAATGGAGAGTGAGAAAAAGAGATAATAGAGACGATCAAATCTGACATATCCATGCATAAATATGCCACAATGAAATCCATCATTCTACACTATTAATATGCACTAATAAAAAACTACAGCAAATATTAACTCGTAAATCCTAAAAAAGACACTTACCTTTTACAAACATTGAAATATTTCATTATGAAATTATATTACATCTAGGAATTGTTTCAAAGTTATAGGGGTGGGGAGCAGAGTAGAGGGGAAGATACAGATGAAATAGGATTGAATAGATAACTAATGAAACTGGGAGATGAGTACATACAATTCATTATACTTCTCTCTCTCAGGTGCTGAAATCTCCCATTAATATTAAAGTAAAACTTTAAAAAACGTAAACTTCATGACTTAATTCACAGAACTACTAGGTAAATCAAAAAATAACAAATGTTAAACTGCATGATAAATCTGCGCCAGTATACAAGAGTAAATAATAAAAAAGAAAGGATAAGTGCCAGGGATTAGGTTCAGTGGTGCCAGGCCTGCCTGGCAAGCACAAGGTCCTGAGTTCTAATCCTAGAAAAAAGTGGAATTGCGTTCGGCTGGGGATATAGCTCAGAGGCACAGTGTCTTCCTGGCAAGCACAAGATCCTGAGTTTGATCTCTGGTACCAATAGCAAAAAAATGTAAGGACAAGTGATACAACAAAGTTAAAATGCTAGAAGTATTTAACTAATATTTACTTAGAGAAGGGATTAACTGAGGGGTTCAAGAATTTACTAATTGCACAGATGGATTTCAGAATACTGCAGCATGGTTATAACTCCATATAAATGTTTTATATTGTATGCATTCTGGAGAGAATGTCTAAGCTTTCAGCCCATTCTTAAAGGAGTCTGTAACGCCCAAGGAGAACACGTGGTTACCTGACAGGCCAACTAGAGGAACAGGGAAAAAAATGAACCAGAAGCCTTTCTGAAACTATCAAAGAATGAGCACTGTAAGGGAAGGAGAGAAATTAAATAGTTAAAAAGTTCTAACAAATATCAAGGTTTGGGGTGGGGGGGCTTGTTTGTTTGTTTCTTGGGTCCAGGTCTTTCTCTGTAGTTTAGGATAGCCTTGAACTCACTATGTAGCTCAGGCTGGTCTCTGACTTGTGGCAATCCTCATGTAACTTCCTTGTTGAGATGACAGGTGTATACCACCACATCCAGCCTAGATTATCAAGGTCTTTATCACTGACATACATGGCTGAAGTAAAAAAAATAATAATAAATACTGGAAGGAAAGAGACCAAAAAAAGTAAAGGTGGCTATGAGATCATTTACTGAAAAACAGAAAAATCCAAAATAGCAGTGAGATTTGGAGATTGAAGAAAATTGTGCATCACGGGATCTAAGTTCTAATGAATATGAGGAAGTGTCAATAAATCATAGGAATCAAGAAATAGGCAACATATGTTAAAGGCTTGGTCACCAGACTGTGGTTATTATGAGGTGGTGAAACTGTCAGAGAAGGAGAGGCAGCTAGGTCACTGGGAATGTGCCCTTAAAGAGGATATTGTGACCATACTTTCTTTCTTTGCTTCCTGGCCACCATGAGGTAAGCAGGCCTCCCCACTAAGCCTTTTAGCTACCATAATGTATTGCCTTATGACAGGGCCCAGAGCAAATGAGTCAACCATGGACTGGAACCTTGGAAACTATGAATCTAAATAAACTTGTCCTCCTCAAGAAAAAGATAAGAAAAGAAATATATAGTATAATACAAGTGAACCACATGCTTTCCACAGGAGCACTGATTTTTAGTAAGACCTGGAAAAGTAACAGATTATAAACTGCACTAGGGAATTAGGACAATGCAAACTCCCCAGACCTGTCATAATATGGGAGATGAGTTTCCTCTGTCTGTAGATGACTATATGTATCCTAGGGGAGCTACTAAGAAATGGGTAAAAATAGAACTGTGGTTATAAAGGATCACAAGTCCAGAAACACAGAGTGAAGACAACTTGGAAGAATGTATCATTACAAAAGCCTCACAAGGTACCAGGGTAAGACAAGATAAAAATATGTCAGTAAAAATTTATTACTGTCCCTAAAGATAACAAGAATACTGACTAGATTCTGTGACTTAAAAGTTTCCAAGTGGAACTTTGTTTCTATATTAGCAGCTTGGGACATCTGGCAGTATAATAGCTCTATTAATAGAAGCAGAACTCTGGTGTATTTACAGATGGCAAATTACATTAGAAATCACTGAACATGCCTGTTGATTATTAGAAGCAGAGGTTAGTAGGAAGAGGAATACAAAATGAGAGATCCACATGTATTTTTTCAAAATTAACAGGTTACTCAGACTCCCACTAACCCTACCTATCTTGCAACCCAAAACCATTGTTGTAACTGCTGATGATATGGTTATCAACCATGTATGAAAAATACACACTGTTACCTCAGATGTATCATTACCTCCCACCACTCTCTGGCCCCCAAAATTCCTTAAGATAACATTGTAAAGGTCAGGACAGAATGAAGCTATAAGGATACACCAGGCCTCATCCACACAAGAAATTGACAAGTTTCACTTAAGAGAAGGCCAAGAATAGATTTCTTGAGACAAAACAAAAGTTAATAATCAATACAGAGTGAAAAGTACAGGAAAGTTCAATGGTGTAGGGAAATAAAAGTGAAAGATTTCATGCCTCAAAGCCACATATTTCTCAGGGAAATAGAAAGTAGTCATCCGTTCTAAGGAAAAATAAATGGGCCAAACTGAAAGATCTGAAATCGTCATCATAAAGATTAGGAAAGATACAATAATAAGGGATGAGCAGAGACTGCAAATGGGATCAAGTGCCTACTGAGGTTAAAAGCATGTATCTGTTACCAAAGCCATTAACAATTTATGTTGAAAACTGCCTGGAGAGAGTACAGTCAATTATAATACAGGGTAAGTACTACCAGACAGTAATCAGAGGATGCTATGTCTCAGAAAGGACACTTCAGGCTTTATGAATAAAAGTTGAGTCTTAAAAAGAGGGGTGAGTTCTAGACCATATACAAAACACTTACCCCAAAGAAAACCTGATGATGAATTGATTCAGATAGCTTAAATGATACAGGGTGGGGGAAATAACTATTGAGAGTTTTGGAGTCCCTTCTGTGGTTAAAATGCTCTCTACTTGTGATTGTGAGATAACTCTTCGAACACCCTAAGAGCGAATGAATTATATAAGAGAGTGCATTCTATGATACATCAATTATATCAATAAAGCTGTTTTTTTTAAAAAAAAGATAAATAGTATGAGTTTATTTTCCTCTGAGGTTATCTGAACATAAAATTAAAACCTATGAAGAGGTTTTCCTAAATCTATAATTAGATGCAAGACGCCAACATCCCAGCCTTAATTTTTCACAGGGATAAGAAAATGTATCACAATCATACAGGTTTAATGTTTAACTAGTGAAACCAAACAAATTCAACATTTTTTATAGAATTATATTTAATAAATGCTATAAAAATTCTAAAACAATGTCACTGTATTCCAAATTCTTGTACTGGTACATTAATCTCCACAGTAGGCTCTCGACAAATCCACGCTTGACATTTTACCAGGCAACAAGCTGTCTTGTGCTTTTAGCAAAGTAAAATGCCTTGCTTGCCTGATTGCGTCAAGGATGCAACATCCAAGAAAAAAAAAACACTGCATGGACATAAGAAATCACAACAGCATCCTTCTGGGTAGAGATGATTCGGAAGTGAAAAATTCAAGAAAAATTTACCTAGAAATGTCACCGCAAGAGAGAAACCGCTATTAGCGACTCTCTCTTCATCAGCCAACAATAATAAAAGTGTTCCTAAAGACAAAGCTCATAAAGGCTGCCCTGGACGTCACCTGCGAGTTCAGCAGAGCGGCCCGCGGCCTGGCCAAGCCACCTTCCAGGCCCCAGACCAGCAAACTCGGCCCCGCTCCCCGCCGGCTACCTAAATCTCAGAGCCGTGGACTAGAAAGCGCCAGGCGGCGGAACCCGGGTGAGCCCGAGCCCAGGCTCGCCTACCCCTAGAGACCAACCTCAGCGCGGGTTCTGTCAGGCCTCCGTCGAATCACTACTTCTGAAGCTCCTTGTTCGCCTTTCCCTTCACACCCTCTGGCTTCCACCGCAGACGTTAGCCCCAGTTACTTGATAACCCCTGGCTTAGTGTTTACATTCCGCTTGCCCTTTGATCACCGGAAGCGGAAATTGTCCCTCGATTTATTAGGGCATCATCCGATCCTTGCTCCCTGGTCTCTTAAGAAACAGGCTGAACCACCCTGGAGGCGTCCGGATGGTCAAGAGGAAATGGGCACAATTAAGAATTGTTAAATATTCCTCATCTGACAGAGCCTTCTCCAGGACCGCAAATCCCAGAAGTCATTATGGTTACCCCACCGCATTACCTTCTGGGATTTGTAGTTAGGGAAAAGTGCGGCTGCGTGGATTGCGGAGCTGTCCCGGCTACTGTGAGGCGTAGTGCTCAGGTAAAAATGAGGTGGGATGGGGTTGATTTTGAGGGGCGTTCAAAGGATTAACAAGTACAAAGTACTGTAGTCCTGCTCTAAAGGGGTTTACCATTTAGCCAGGGAGGACAAGCAGACGCACACAGTTAAAACTGGATTGAGAAAGGTTCAAAACAGGCTAATTAGGGAAGGTCGTGACTGAACTGTTGGCTTCAGGTAGGAAGGAATTAACAAATAAGTTGGTCCCAAAAGAGAAAATTATGACCTGAAAATAGCTGTAGGTCATGTCTTGAAAATAAGCGGGCAAATGTTAACACAGGTATGTGTTAACATAACTTAGGAAATAGAAAAATTAAGCATCTTGACTCTTGAAGGACCGTGTTTGGAGACTAGAGACCAGGCTTTCTCACCCTCAGTACTACAGTGCAGATCACTGTTTGGAACTCAAGAGTTCCTTGCTGGGCAAAAGGGTTGTCTCGTAGGGTGAGCAGCAATACAGTATCCTCATCGAGTACTTCTGATGCATACTAAAATCTGTCTAAAAGAAAAGCACCAGGGCAACTGTTACAAACTGAACTAGATGCTTTTTTCGTAAAACACTTTATTTAGGACAAATTAGTTATTCAGACTTGCACATTAGACCTTTTCTCAGAGCTGAGTAAAAAGAGACTATTACTTCAATAAAACAAATGATAGTGTTTGTTGTAAACATAAAATTCCATGGGTCATTCTCCAAAATAGACCACATGCTACCTCACAGAACATGCTTAAGTAAATGCAAAGAAATTGAAGTTATCCCATGTATATTATCAGACTAGAGTGCAATTAAACTGGAAATCTATAGCCTAAGAAACCACAAGAACTTCACAAACATATGGAAATTAAATAACACCCTGCTGACCAACCATTGGGTCACAGAGGAAATTATTAGGCTGCTAGAAAAAGAAGAGCAAGAAAAACCCAAAGCACATACAACAGAGGAAATTATAAAGATCAGAACAGAAACCAATACAATGAAAACTAAGAGGATACAAAAAAAAAAAAAACAAAACATGAATCAAACAGTTGGTTTCTTGAAAGAATAAATAAAATCGATAAACCCTTGGCCAACCTTATCAAAAAAAAGGAAAGAAAAGGCTCAGATTCATACAATTAGGAATGAAAAAGATGAAGACACAACAGATACACCAGAAATTCAGAGGATCATCAATACCTACTTCGAAAGCCTGTACTCTAATAAAATGGAAAACACAGACGAAATGGACAGATTCCTAGATACATATGAACTTCCAAAGTTGAACGAAGAAGATATAAAAAGTCTGAACACCCCAATTAGATTCATTGAAATTGAAAATGTAATTAAAACATTACCAACAAAGAAAAGACCAGGTCCTGATGGCTTCACTGCTGAATTCTATAAGACACTTAGAGAAGAACTATCACCACTACTCTTTAAACTTTTCAATGAAATTGAAAGGGAAGCAATACTTCCAAATTCATTCCAGGAAGCAAGTATTACTTTGATTCCCAAACCAGAGAAAGACCCAACCAAAAAAGAGAACTCTCTAATGAACATAGATACAAAAATCCTCAATAGGATACTGGCAAACAGAATACAGAAGATCATCAAGACGATCATACACTTTGATGAAGTCAGATTTATCCCAGGGGTGCAAGAATGGTTCAACATATGTAGATCAATAAATGTAATATACTATATCAATGGAGTCAAATTCAACATCAATTCATGATAAAAACCCACAGAAAATTGGAATAGATGGTCTTTATCTCAACTTGATAAAGGCTTATATGAAAAACAATCAGACACTATCACACAAAATGGCCCAAAACTGAAAACCTTCATACTTAAATCAGGAAGACAAAGATGTTCACTATCACCACTCCTGTTTAATACAGTTCTAGAAACATTAGCCACAGGAATTAGACATGAGAAAGAAATAAAAGGAATAAAGATAGGAAAGGAAGAAGTTAAACTGTCATTATTTGTTGATGATATAGTACTCTACATAGAAGACCCAAAAAACCAATTTTGGGGGTCTTTAGGATTCGAGGGGGGGCTGTTGTTTGAGACAGGGTCTTGTTATATAGCTCATACTGGCTTTGAACTATGTAGCCCAGGCTGGCCTCCAACTAACAGTAATCTCCTGCATCCGCCTCCCAAGTACTGGATAACAGACGTGGACCACCATGCCTGGGTCTTTGAACTGGAAATTTCAAAATGATAAAGGCATGATTGTGGGAGCCAGCATCCATCCAATGATCCCTGCTCCTGACATTCATCTTCTTGTGAAGTTGCTGCCCATGTTAAGCCAGACTCAGTCTCTATATATGGAACAGGACAGAAGTCTTCTGGCTTCTCACAGTAATTATAAAAGTCACTAAGGTGGTGACAGTGTTTAGAGGTTGACATAGGCCATGTAAACCTGCACTGAAAATTCAGCGCCACAGACTGTACTTAGATTTATGCACTTTTCTGTAGGTAGTGCTTTTACAGTGGGCACACATGAACATAGTTTAAAGTGAGTAACTGTTGCTTAAGGCAGTGTCCCTTTTCTAGGGGTGTTACCTAAATATCTCAAGTAATTTAAACTTGATTCACTCTACCCCATTAAAGATTTCCTCCCATGAAGTTTTTACACTTCACCCATCACTTCTTTTCTTTATGTGATCACAGATTAACCTTTTTAACACATTTAATCTATTTAATACATTTCCTATGCTGCCCTTTTAGTGACACCATGAACATCTCCCAAGTGGCAAAAAATGCTCTAAATTTATCAGTAAACATTTTTTTTAGCATTTACAATGAATAGGTTTGTTCTTTTACAATGAATATATCAATTCAATAGGGTTTTCAAACAAGACAATTTCTTGTACAAATTTATACAAGGGAGATAACCTAGGAGTGTTCCTCAAAAGAAAAACATTCTTGTGCTATTCATAACATTTTTTAGCATTTTCTTTTATTGTTTTTTGTGATCAAACTTGAGACCTTGTGCTGAGGCTGGCAGCCTAATTTTCTTGTTTTAAAGACTCAGAATGTCAATGATACAGCAAGTGCTGCCCAGTAATGGTACATAGAGAAAAGATTTAGTACTGAAGTCTAACAGCAGTGGTGCAGTGTAGGTGTGTGTGTGTGGGGGGGGTCCAGCTTGGTTGGCTTTGAGATCCCCCTGAAATGGAAACACTTCCGGGTGTGTCTGGGTGGGCATGGGGCATGGCGTTGGGGGTCTATAGTTGGTCCCTACTTCCTCTCTGCACTATTTGCTTTTGCTTGAAGGCACCCTGAACTAGGCAGCCTTGCTCCATCACACCCACCATATTTCTGCCTTATAACTAACTGATCTTGGACTGAAACCCCTGAAACCAAGAACTAAATTAAACCTCTCAATGTTCTGGGTGTGGGGTATTTTATCCCAGTGAAAGGAAAGTGACTGATACAGGCAGGATTCTAACCAAATCCAGTGTTAGCTTCTAATAAATAGTACCTACTTTTTGGCCTTTATAATACCTATCAATATTTTGTTTCAATGCTTGATTTCTAGGTAAAATTAAAACTAATTTGGTTGAGACAAAAACCACAATATTTTAAGTACTAAAATTTGGTCACACACATTTTATGTTTAGGTACACTGTTAAGAGAGGTAAAAAGGTATCTGTCCATGACCAACCCCCTCTCCAGGTGCCATTTAGTTTTCCCAGTTTAAACAAAAAAAGCTGTTACAACAAATTAAAAAATGAAGTTTTTATTATGTCTTTCTAAATTATGGTACTTGAAATTGTATACTCATCAAAACATACATGAACCATAAGGATTGATTTCTACTCTATCACCAATTTACAGTTTCACTGTATGTGGAATCTCATCTTGTCAGAACTCACCATGTGAGATTTATATTTTGGATGGGGAGATAGAGAAGTTAAGAAAACAATTTTTTAGACACCACAGATTTTTTTTCATCCAAAGGTGCACTTGGAACATAGATGCATGGAGCCACATCCAGCCAAAGCCCACAATGCATTAACTGTGAAAAGTATCACCACAAAATCAAAAGGGGCAGCACAGTGGTGCAGGGGATGGGGGGTTAGGGAAGGATTTCATATAAAATTACCTAAAACTCTGAAAAAACTACAAAAGCATTTTTAAAAAAATATAATCAAAGTAAAAGCAATAATGTTTATTTCAGTAAAATTATTTTAAATTAGATATGATATATTAAGCTCCCATATGCCCCAAACTGGTAGAAAAGTTCCTTTCCATGAGAAATAAATTTTAATGACAAAATTTTTACATATCAGTAAAATCTGTTATATTTAAAACTATGTATACAGTACATTTCTGGCAAAAACCTTATACATCTTTCAGCTGTCAAGACAAAGTAAAAATATGGTTGCATAAAATCACAAAAAATATAAATTGCTGAAAAAGATAATAAAAAAGATTAAAAATCATTATATTGACTCCCCTTACATCTTCAGTATTACTAAGAATTTGCAAATTACAATTTTTGAAAATTCTGTTGCAACCTTGACATACTTGATCAAAAGCTGTCATTTCAAATATCCTAGCTTAAAAAAGAATTTACGGCAAGTCTGCAATTATCATATTGTTTGTACAAGTACAATATTTGAATAATTTCAAAATAAAACTTAGTAACTAAGAAGAATCACAATAACTTATAAAAGAAGATTACAAAATTAACAATTTTAGAGGGTCCTAGTTAATTGGTTCTTTTGTCCACCCCCATAGAACAGTTCATACAGATATTTATTTAGTTCTTTGTACAGATCTTTAAAAATACAGTCTTCTGTTCTAGACATCAGAAATATAATGCTGCATTTAGAGAGCCTAAAACCAATATCCCCATCAAGGGACCACACAGTTACTAAATACAGCATTCTGCTCATACGTAAATGGGACATTTTCTGCTTTATACAGCATTTGGATCTGAAGTTCAATAGAAGCAGCCCTGGACAAAAAGAATCAAGATTTTTGTTTTAGATTCAGTGCAGGAGTATAGAGGTACTGGAGTCACCATAAACTTGAGTAACCATTTCTGCAAGCTAGCATGAAAACTACCAGTATCTGGTTACCTTAGTGCTCCCTATATTTGACAAGACAATCCTATCATAATTAAAATAAAAATATCTTTTACAACACACCAAAAAAAAAAATACAACTAATTTTTTTTTTCTCTGCTGGGAATAAAATCCAGGGCCTTGTGTATGCTAGACAAGCACAGAGCTACACCCCCAGCTCCAATTTCTTTAAGTTAAAATAATAGGCAGCCAGAAGTGGTGGTGCGTGCCAGTAATCCCAGCATTTGTGAGGCTGAGGCAGAAGGACTGCTGCAAGTTCAAGGCCAGCCTGGACTACATTCAGTTCAAGGCCAGCCTGAACTACATAGTGAGACCCTGTCTCAAATTAAAAATAAAGCTAATATTAGGCAAATGTGGACAATATAGTATTTATTAGAATACAAATGATATGAATTTCATGTGAGGTGACTTTGAAACCTTCATTTACATTTATGTGGTTTTATTACTGAGTAAAAAAAATATGTAAGAGATCTTAAATATCTTTAGAGAGATCCCATAATGCTAATTTTTTTAAATAATTAAAACAAAACAAATTTGGCCATTCAGAAGAACTGTGATTTGTTCTACATTTTATCAAAATAATATTAATATTATATCTGATGAAAGAGATATAACAAAATCCAATGTGTAAACTTTAATTGGATCCTGGTTTGAAATAACTGTCTATGAAAGCAATTTGGAGGATAAATGAGGAAATATAAATATGGAATGAGTAGCAGATAATAGGAAGTTTCTAAATTTATAATGGACTTATGATAGTTTTCTGAGGATACTCATTTTTTAGGAGACCCTCTAAGCAGTTAGGGCTGATAAATGTGTCTAACATCTAAATAGTTCAGAAAAACATATATATATACACACACAAATGTATATGCGTAACTATATCTCTGGGTACAGGAAGCAAATAAGGCAAAATGTTAAAGAAATCTAACTAATAGATACACATAGATAGGATTACTCTACAGTCTTTCGATTTTTCTTTTTTAAAAAAGTTCATAGTGGAGTTCCACTAAGAATTTAAAGTTGGTGAGACGTGTTCCTTCTATGCACTCACTCAATTTAAAAGGTTTATCATCAAGTGACTAGAGATGCTTACATACATTCAATACTGGCTGACATCATGAGCTGGGAGAATTTGTGAAATTAGCAAAACATGATTTATATACATTATATGCAATGCAGCTCTTGAAATAGAACACTTTAAAGAGTATAGGGAGAGAAACTGTGAGATTAATTTAGTGTGGAAGTATGTGAATATACATATTCTGTGTGTTTGGACTTAACAAGCTAAAGAAAAAAATTGAAATTGAGTCTAATATCTGATACAACTTACCATACAGGACAGAATTTTAAGAGGACATGAAAGAAGTTATCCAGACTGTTACTACTACTGGAAAATACTAGCTACTTAAGACTCAATAAGCCCAGAAGACACTATCACCTATGAAGGTCTATGGGAATTCTGGGCAAGCATTGATTGAGTAAATTTACAAAGCAAATATAGAACACATCAACATGTATGAAGGCCTTTCTGGTAAATTAATATTCTACAAAGACCTGTATACACTAAATATAAAATAGCCAAAAATCAAAAGAGCCTGAGAGACCTAATTCATTGTGTTTATATTATATTATGCTATATGCTTATTGAGTAATAACAACAAAAAGATCTTAATTTATTTCTGCACAATAGGCTTTTAATTATTGTGTCCCAATTCCTGTGCAAATTGCATTCCAAAAGGCCATCCTTAGTTATAATTATATATATCTATAATTTGATTACACATGTAAGCATTTGGCTATTATTTATTATGCATGCTTATTGCTATCAAAGAAATAAGCAAAGTTTCGGGTTCACTGTGCAAGAATTTTAATTAGATTTGCACACATTTCAAAAAATTCTATTGTGTGACTTCCGGGCCTTGGAGTTAAGTCAACAGGAGAAGAATCAAGTGAGGTTACAGATGAGGTAAGAGAAACTTCTGAGGATTTTCCTTGAGCCTCAGCATCTGAGTCATTCCTTTGGCAAGATCGATAGTTGCTAATTGATCCCGATCTCTGTGGAGTAGCAGTCCCTGATTTGGCTTCTGTAATTTCATCTGGACAAAAAGAATTTCAATATATCATAAAATCTATGACTTCCTCAGTTTTTTTACAATATTGACACTGTTTCTTTAGGTGAGACTACTGACCAGCTATTCAGAATATAAATACCTTCTCAAATGAAGCCACGTGCCTGTGTTAAACCAGTCACCTCTTTAACACACAGAACATATTCTTGCAATGGCTAATCAAGGATAGGTGCAGAGTACAGCTATCCATCCATTTTGCAAGCAAAGATTAAGAGCCCAGTGAGCTACTAAATTCGAGTTTAAAATTCTCTAGCCATAAAAATTAATCCTTCCATATTAAAATCATAGAATAAATTCACCTGAAGTACGGAACATGTCGTGGAAATTATCCAAGCTTATTTTACTGATATGAAAGGACCAAGAGAAGTTAAGTAATTTATCTACAGAAACAAACAGAAAGGTAAAGGTAAATCTAGAAAAGTCTCTTTAACTTCTGCTTAGTGGTTTTCACTCTCCACTTTCACATCATATTTCATTTAAGCTCTCATAAAGGACAGCAATTCCAATAAACAAAATAAAAGAAAAACTAGTTGAGAACAAAATACAAAAAAAGCACGTGGCCATTCAATTGGTAAACCCAGGTGCCAATAAATCTAGTATCAATCCAAATACAATGAGAAAAATCTCTATCTCCAACTGTACTGGTTTGTGTTAGGAGATATACAGTATCCGACATACAGATAAGAAGACATTAACATTTGGTCAGCATTTCACAGCTTAAATCTATCTTTCTGATAACATGTAAGTACTATCTTTAAGTTTCTGAAAAGGAAAAAAAAATTCATATATGAATCTTAGCTATATAATTCTACATAGTCTTCCATAAACAATGATGGCACCATATCTTAACTGATAGAGCCAATGAAAAACAGCCAAAACCTTGCATATATTCTAAAATTAGTCATAAATAAAAGCATACACATCAACATTTATTTCTAATTAAAACATTTTATCTTACCAAAATGAACCACACAAAAACACAGAAATGTAGTATAAAACTATCACATTAGGACCAAAACATATCTTGTCTTTAAGGATTTAAAAAAACAGTAATATTAAAAGGTCAACATGTGATACGGTTATAAGACTAACAAGATTTACAAATGTTAGTATTGCAAAGGCACAAAAAGTCACATTTCCTATTCCTTTGCTATTCAATTATTAGGAAGAAGTCAAGAATCTTCAGAAGAATCAAAGACTAACCAGCCACATTCAGTGACAAAGTCTGATGATGTACATACCATCAATACTACGGAAATCCAGTAAGTAAGTTCTGCTATCCACTTGATATAACTGTAGACTCATTTTGGAATATGTGCTGGTCACAGGATTCTTCCTCCGTACACGCAAATAATATGGGTTTACAACCTAGTATATGATACATACAAAAACAAAGCCAAATCAGTTCTTCTATAAAAATTTTATAGATTACAGATTTGGCAAATGTGTTAATGTTTAGAATACTCTTTCTTACCTTCCATTCATAATCCAGTTGTTTAATTGCTCTACATACTTCTGCCATGATGTCATTTGGTCGACTTTGACTTCTAATTCCCAAATGCCATTTTGCTTTCCTTACACCTTGGTGCTTGGATTTCTGTGGATTTAATTCATCAAGAGTATGGCGTGTTCTTGGCATTTCAGCAACCAAGAATGGTACTCTTTCAGGATGGGGGCGAGTTAAATGATGATCATCAAGAAAAGAATCAGGTGGGCTTGTTGCCAAGTAGAAATCTTTGGCTTCATTCATTATTCTCCTGTTATCGATTATGAGGTGGTAGGCAACTGCCAAAGGGTCCTGGTGATTTCTGTTATAAAGGCAGCTGAGAACCTCCTCTTCTGAACATTCAAATTTTTCACACACTTCTTTTAAGGCTTCATCATCAATCATGGTTGAGCTATATGATGGATCCTCAGGAAAGAGATATTTTGGAAGATCCTGTTTGAACCATTCATGTTCCCTGAGAGGAAATAGGTCAGGAGAATTTTAGCAGAATAAGGACTGAAAGTTAAAATCTGAAGTATATAAGACACTTCAGAGGCTGGGGATTTAGCTCAGTGGTTCCAGTGCCTGCCTTGCAAGCAAAAGAACCCGAGTTTGATCCCCGGTACCAAAAAAGACACTATAGTTATACTCATATTGTCTTACTACTATCATTTTTCAAAGATTTTCCTTTCTTAGCCACACTTCATTGTATATGCTGAAAATGCTCCAGCTTCCCTGATTTTAAGGATTGATATAGCAATGGGAAAAGTATACATTTATATTTATTTTGGAATAAATGACAATGACAAAGTATAGTTTATTTCTAGCTCAGAAAAAAAAAATACTGTGTAGTATCAGTGCTTTTGATATGTTAAAATGGATCGCTTCTCTACCCTTTTGGCTAAGATCAAGTAATATAATATTGAGTGAAAAGAATCTAGTAACAGTAAAAACTAAACAAATAGCATTCACTGAGTCCTCTTAGGATTTATGCTAAATAATTTATACATATTTTTCCTTCATTCTTAAAACAATTCATAGAAGATAATAACATCTCCATGTTTTAAACAGAGGAACTGAAGTTCAAACACATCAAGGAGCTTTCTCAAGGTCACAAAATAATTGGCAGAGCAAGGATTTGCAATCCAGCTCTGTGTAGCTCAAAGGTCATATCCTGATTTCCTTTTCCAATTCCCTAACTTCACAAATAAAAGGTTATGTTTGACTTGAGCAACATTAAAAACTCGTGAGAAGTTAAAAAAAAAAAAAAAAAAAAGAGGAAA